ACACCACACGCACACCGTACACACACCACACACAAACCACACATCACACACACACACCACACACATACACCACACACACCACACACCACACACCACACGCACACCACACACACCACACACAAACACCATATACCACACACACACCACACACACACACCACACACCACACAGACACCACACACACACCGTACACACACCACACGCAAACCACACATCACACACACACACCACACACAACTTCTCTACCCCTCCTGGTCCGGGCAGCACCTATAGGCAGGTGGAGAGAGGACGTGAGCCTGCAGACACAGCGGCCCTATCCAGACACGGGATGAATTCTTCCCCGACCTCACACCAAGCTGTGCGGAGACACACTGCCGCGCACGCTGACACAGGGCGCCCAGACAGTCCCAGATACAACGCGAAAGGACCTGGTGGCACAGCCGTGGCCTCCTCCCAGCACACACACATACACACCTCCCCACGTGGACACACAACACACACATGGGCTTCTGCACATTTCGACCCCTCCACACTGGGACGGACCACTTACAGCTCTGGGACAGGGCCAGGGACCTGCCCCACCTGGCTCCACGTGGGTCCACGACCACACACATCACAGCTCACAGCCACGCAACCTCAGGGGTGCACACACGTGTGCAAACACACCCTCACCAGCAATGGAGAGTCTGGAAGGAGCCATGTGACACCTCCGCCCCACACCCGCCCCCACCGCGGCTCTCACGCACACAGTGGCGCTCTCCTCCTCCACAGCTGAGGGGGAAGGGGCCCGGGACCCCAGGCTTCACGTCTGCACCTTCCATGCCCCCCTGCACCCCAGCTCAGGACCTGACAGACACAGATGTGGGGACACAGGTCAGAGAGCCAGCCTGGGGCAGGGTCCCTGGGCTTCTGGGAGCTCCTCCCCCACCCCCACCAGCCCCCTGCTCAGCTCTGTGCTGCACGCTCCACCTGCTGCGTCCCCTCCCAACCCTCTTGCCCGGGGGCTGGGGGCCAGGGCGTCCAGAAGCTCGGAGAAAGGGACAGAGACACTAAAGGGGAAGCAGAGGTCCGGGAGGGGACAGGAGAGAGGCAGGGAGATTGGTGTGTTTGGAGGAAGGGGGGGGGGAGGGAGGGGGGGAAGAGCCCAGAGGAGGGGGGGAGGAGCAGGAGAGGGGGGAGACCCAGAGAGAGGGGGGACAGAGACCCAGAGAGAGAGGGGGACAGAGACCCAGAGAGAGGGGGACAGAGACCCAGAGAGAGAGGGGGGACAGAGACCAGAGAGAGGGGGACAGAGAGGGGAGAGACCAGAGAGAGAGGGGAAGAGACCCAGAGGAGGACAGACCCAGAGAGAGGGGGACAGAGACCCAGAGAGAGGGGGGACAGAGACCCAGAGAGAGGGGAAGAGACCCGGGAGAGAGGGGGACAGAGACCGGAGAGAGGGGGCAGAGACCAGAGAGAGGGGGACGAGACCCAGAGAGAGGGGGGACAGAGACCCAGAGAGAGGAGGGGGACAGAGACCCAGAGAGAGAGGGGGGACAGAGACCCAGAGAGAGGGGGGACAGAGACCCAGAGAGGAGGGGGACAGAGACCCAGAGAGAGAGAGGGGGACAGAGACCCAGAGGGGGAGAGGAGGGGGGACAGAGACCCAGAGAGAGGAGGGGGACAGAGACCCAGAGAGAGGGGGGACAGAGACCCAGAGAGAGAGGGGACAGAGACCCAGAGAGGAGGGGACAGAGACCCAAGAGACCGAGAGGGGGGACAGAGACCCAGAGAGAGAGGAGGGGGGGACCAGAGAGAACAGAGCCAGAGAGAGGGGACAGGAGAGAGAGGAGGGGGGACAGAGACCCAGAGGAGAGAGAGGGGGAACAGAGACCCAGAGAGAGAGGGGACAGAACCCAGAGAGAGGGGGGACAGAGACCAGAGAGAGAGGGGGCGGACCCAGAGACCAGAGAGCAGAGAGGGGGACAGAGACCCAGAGAGAGAGAGGGGAAGAGACCAGGAGGACAGCCAGAGGAAGAAGACCGAGAGGGGGACAGAGACCCCAGAGAGAGAGGAGGGGGACAGAGCCCAGAGAGAGGGGGGGACCAGAGAGGACCAAGAGGAACCCCAGAGAGAGGAGGGGGACAGGAGAGACCCCAGAGGAGGGGGACAGGAGAGAGGGGACAGAGAGGAGGGGGGACAGGACCAGAGAGGAGGAGGGGGGAGGAGAGGGAGGGGGGACAGAGACCAGAGAGGGGGGGAGGAGAGGAGGGGGACAGAGACCGAGGAGGGGGGAGGAGGAGGGGGACAGAGACCCAGGAGAGGGGGGGAGAGAGAGAGAGGGGGACAGAGACCCAGGGACAGGAGAGGAGAGAGGGGGACAGAGACCCAGGAGAGGGAGAGAGAGGGGGACAGAGACCCCAGAGAGAGAGAGGGGGGACAGAGACCCAGAGAGAGAGGGGGGACAGAGACCCAGAGAGAGAGGGGGACAGAGACCCAGAGAGGGAGGGGGGACAGAGACCCAGAGAGAGGAGGGGGACAGAGACCCAGAGAGAGGAGGGGGACAGAGACCCAGAGAGAGAGGGGGACAGGACCCAGAGAGAGGGGACAGAGACCCAGAGAGAGAGGGGGGACAGAGACCCAGAGAGAGGGAAGGGAGGAGGGGGACAGAGACCCAGAAGAGAGGGGGGGGGAGGGAGGGGGGACAGGAGAGAGAGGAGGGGACAGAGACCCAGAGAGAGGAGGGACAGAGACCCAGAGAGAGGGGTGGACAGAGACCCAGAGAGGGAGGAGGACAGAGACCCAGAGAGGGAGGGGGACAGAGACCCAGAGAGGGAGGGGGACAGAGACCCAGAGAGGGAGGGGGACAGAGACCCAGAGAGGGAGGGGAACAGACACCCAGAGAGGGAGGGGGACAGAGACCCAGAGAGGAGGAGGCGAGGGGGGGACAGAGACCCAGAGAGAGAGGGGGCAGAGACCAGAGGAGGGGGGGACCCAGAGAGAGGAGGGGAGACCAGAGAGGAGGGACAGAGACCAGAGAGAGGAGGGGGGACAGAGACCCAGAGAGAGGAGGGGGACAGAGACCAGAGAGGAGGGGGACAGGACCCAGAGAGGAGGGGACAGAGACCCAGAGAGAGGAGGGGGGACAGAGACCCAGAGAGAGGAGGGGGGACAGAGAGAGGAGGGGACAGGACCAGAGAGGGAGGGGGACAGAGACCCAGAGAGGAGGGGGACAGAGACCCAGAGAGAGGGGAACCAGAGAGAGGGGGGAGAGAGAGGGGACAGAGAGAGGAGGGGACAGAGCCAGAGGGGGAGGAGAGGGGGGGACAGAGACCCAGAGAGGGGGACAGAGACCCAGAAAGAGGCAAAAGAGACGGACGGGGGGCGGGAGACAAATGCTCAGAGGGGATGCAGAGTCCTAGAGAAGTGGGGGTCATTGACCCTGAGATGAGAGCCAGAGAGAGGACGACATGACCTACAGAGGGGACAGACGCCCGAGAGTCGGCTCCTCTGGGGTCTCGGGAGCTGGGCTGGAGTGAGGTCCGCAGGGGGTGGGTGGGGGGCTGAGGGGCTCAGTGGGTGTGGAGAGAGAGGCCGGGGCTGGGCCAGGCGGGCGCGGGGTCCGAGTGCGAACGGTGGGGCTCCTGTGGGGCTGACAGGTGGGTTTGGGGTAGAGATGTGCGTTCAAGAGGAGGCGGGCCCGGGCGGGTGGGGAAAGCTCAGAGAGAAGGGGCGGGCTCCTGCTGGAGGGCGCGGGGACCCCAGTTCCGGGCGCCGGGGGCGGCGGGGCGGGGAGACCCTGGGGGGGCTGCGCGGGGGCGCCGTGCCTCGCTGGCCGCGGGGAAGGCAGGGACCAAGCTAAGGAAGAGGACCCTCCCCCGACCCGCAGCCCAGGCGGCGGCCGGTGCCTGCGCCCCCGCCCAGATCCCTGCGCCGCCGGGTCTGCGTGCCTGTCTCTGGGTCTCTGCATCTCCGCGTCCCAGGGCGCCCCGTCCACGCCTCCGCGCGGACCCCCGCCTCCCCCACGCGTCTCTGTCTCTAGGGGGGTCTCAGCCCTCGTCTCTCGCTGCGGGTCTCCGCGCATCTCGGCGTCTCTCTCCGTCCCGGCGCCTCTGTCCCGGGCTCTCCCCAGCTCCTAGCCTCAGTTCCCTGCGCGCCTCCATTTCCCTCCTTCCCCCGCCCGATCTCCGTCTCCCCTCTGTCTCCACATTCCGCTCGTCTCTCCTCCCTGGCTCCACGTCTCTGTCTCTGTCCCTGTCCCAGGTTTGCTGTCGTCGGATCTCTGTCCGAGTGTCTGTGCCTCCACTCACCCGCGACCCGGACCCCCGAGCCCCCTCCCGGGTCCCCCACTCCCATTCAGGCCCGGGTTGGTGGGGTGGGGGGGCGCTGCGGCGGGAGCTGTGTGTTCCCAGCGCAAAATAGACTCTCGTTGCCATGGCGACGCGCGCGGGGCCTCCGAGACGCGAGGCTTCGGGCTTGGGGGGTGAGGAGGGGGGACACCTGGATCCGGAAGGCGGGGGCCGGGGGCGCCGCCGCCCGGTCCCAGGGGCTCCTCCTAGATCCCTGGGGAGAGGGATGCTGGGCGCTCCGACGCTGGGGGCCGGGGGACCGGACCTTCTGGGAGGGGTCTGGGCTCCCAGGGTCGGCGGTGGGGGCTCGGATTGCCTAACGCGGGGCGGGCTGGCTGACAGCTCTGACGCCTGTATCCCTGAGGACTCAGGGGTGGCCTCTCAGGTCCCTAAGGTTGGGGAAGAGGCAAGGGCTGCAAATCTGGAACGGGGGAGCTCTCCCTGGGGGTCTGCAGAGTTCCAACTCCCAAATCTGCAGAATTCTGGGAGCCCCCATGTGGGTCCCGGAACTCCTGCGTCTGGGGGAGCCGGGACTACAAGGCTGAAGCTTTCAGCCCTTCCTTCCGTCCGTCCATCCATCCACCCATCCACATGGATGTCTCTTCCTTCCTCCCCGTCTCCATGTCCCCGTGCCTCAGTTTACCCCCCGCACCGGGGTGCGGTCTCGCTCACCTCGCTTTCCGGATGCGGGACCCTTGGGGAGCCGGGGGCGGCGGCGTGGGGGGCGGCCGGAGGCAGCGGCGGAGCGCGTGTCTGCCGGCAGCTGGGCTGGGCGTGCGCGCGCCGGCTGGGGGCGACCCCGGCCGCAGTTCTCCTCCGGGCAGATGCGCCGCGTCCGTGCAGATGTGTCAGCCGCCAGCCCTCGCCTTTGCCTCGCGCCGGCTTTGAGCCGAGAAGAGGCACCTCCCCCTCCCCACCTGCTGGGGACCCCGCTTTCTCCCTCATGCAGCCCCCAGTCGCCCCCGGGATCCCCCCCAACCCAAGAATGGTTTGGTCCACAGCCACATGTATGTTTATTCTGCGAGTCCGTGTCCCACAGTTTGAGACTCTTCTTCCCCTCCCCTTCCCGCCCCGTGAAGTGGCCCGGGGCCGAGCCCCGCCTCCACCTCGGCTCAGCCAATTCCCACCCAGCTTTCAGGAGTCTTATTTGCATTTCCGGGAGCAGCTGTCCAATGGAAGGGCAGCACCCTACCTCCCCCCCCCCAAGGGGGCGGCACTCCTGGTGGATCGCACCACTCTTGGGATCCAGGGATGGGGGGAACGCGCTTCCACTGAGGTCCGGGCGACAGGAAGGTGGTCTTCGCTCAAGGCAGGGTTGGAGTTCAGTGCAGGAGGAGGTTCTGACCTTGGAAGAGGCCCAGCAGTCCGCTGTCTGGGGCGGGCTCCTTGATGAGCTTCTGGATCTGTAGGGGCAGAGGGAGATGGGACAGGAAGAGTCTAGGGTCCTGATCTCCATGGATGACAAATCTGAGGGACACCTCTCCGTCTTCATCTCTGAGATCTTACGGCCAGCAGCTGCCCAAGACAACACTCCCTCTTCTCAAGACTTTTTCTGGGGCCTCCCTTTCATTACACATGACTGGTTGAGCTCCTAAGTGCCCGCCATCTTGGTCTGCTTTGCTGGCTTGGACCACTAAGGGTGGACAGCTCTGTGCCAGGGCTTCTTATCTACACCTTCCTCTTCTTAAGTAACCTCATCTCTCCCATCCCTCTTCTGGGCCCTCAGCTCCCAAATCCAGCCTGGACTTTGCCCCTGAACTCCAGACTCATCTATCCAACTGCCTCTTAGATAGACATGAGCAACCAACCGCATTTCATCCATCAGCAAGTCCCAGCAAGTTTATCTCCAGAAAATAAAAATAATAATAATAAAGGAAAAAAAAAAAAAAAGCCTGCATCCCCACTGCCTCATCACTGCTTGCCTGGGTGCCCAAATTAACCTCCTTACTGACAGGTCTCCCTCCTCCCCTCTATGCCACACTCCCTAACCCATTGGTCACACAGTGCCAGAAAGAACTTTGTAAACTGCCAATCTGATATGGGCAGCTCCCCTGCACCAAACCCTGATGGCTGCCCATGGCTGAAATCCCAAACCTTTGGGCTCTGGCTCCTGTGTGAAGACAGGGTGCTGGCTCCTCCTGCCCAGTGCTCACCGTGGCCTGCTACAGCTCTTTGGACAAAGAAAGCTCAGTCCCCCTCCCCTGAGAACACTGAGTGCCTGATGTTCCCTTCCCCTGCAGGTCAGAATTCGGGGCCACCCCTGCCACTCTCACTCATCCCTCTGCAACTCCCGCCCCAGCTGGGGGTCACGATGTGTGATTGAACATGGATTGATGCAGACTCCAGGGCTCACCACACTGGCTGGCATGGAGTAGGTGCTCAGTGAATGTCTCACAGAGCTGAACTAGAAGGAAGGCAAGGAGCAGACCTGGGAGGGCCTGGGAATGTCAAGGTCTGGGGCCTCTCCAGCATCCTGAGGGCCAAGGGCTTGAAGCAGGGGGGCCCAGTACCTGGCTGACCCTGGTAGCAGGGTGGCCACTCTGGGGGTGGGTGTGGAGTCTGAGAAACTGGAGGAGGGGCACCCGGGCTGGAAGGGGCAGAGGCGGAGGAGATGGAGAGTTGGGGATGGGTGTGGACAGGTCAAGGGGCTTCTATCTACAGGGTCTCTGCTGACCTGTTCTTGCCCAGTGTCTGCCTGGTCCTTTCCTCCTTCAGTTCATTCTAAAGTCACCTGCTCCAGGACGCCCCCCAGACCCTCCAATACAAACCCCCTCCTCTGTGCCCTGACCCTCTGGATCGCCTCCCCCATTTCATCGCTCTCTGTGGTCCTTGTGGTCCATCTGCGGGCTCCTTTCATGGATTTATGGCGGTGACAGTGACCAGCAGCCTCCCCTCCAAGAACCTGGCTCCCCCTGGAGGCGGCAGCCTGCTGGTGACGGGATGTATTCCCAGAACCCAAAGACAAGACCTTTGTCAGATGCAGGGGAGGTGGGGGCGGCCGCGAGGGCATTACCTCCTTGAACTGCGGGTGGGCGGCATCACCCACCAGCTGCAGAATGAGCCCTTCGCTGGTGGAGAGGAAGGCACCACTCTGTCTCATGCGGGCCAGCGCCACCAGCCGGTCCACCTGGCTGTGAATAGGAGGGAGGGAGGGAAGGTTGGTGTGAATGCCACGGCCTAGACACCCAGACACGCTGGCACTCTGGTGGGAATGGGAATGCCGCCTGTGGCCCTTCCTGGGAACCCCTCATGGCCCCCAAGTGCACCCACCCAGGGAGGGCGCTCTCACCTGCGTGAGGAGCAGGCGTCCACCACCACGTGGACCTGCAGCCCCCGGTCCAGAAGGTCCAGGGTTGTGTTCTGTGGGTAGAGAGAGGTCAGGGCCAATCCCGGATAAGAACAGGGGTCCTGGGTAAGGAACTGGGGATGATGAGTCAGAATTAGGGGCCCAGAATGGGGAGGAGGGAAGCTTGGATCAGAGCAGGGGGCCCCCAGGTCAGAAGGGGATCCAAGATAGGATGGGGCCCGTATGTGAGAAGAGAGGGCCCAGGTCAGGATGGGGGTCCGACAGGGAAGTGGAGGTTTCCAGTCACGGAAGGAGGTTCTATTTAGGATGGGGGTCCCAGGTGAGAATGAGGGACCCCTGGGGTCAGTCAGCATCTCACCAAGATGCAGGCCTGTGCCTCAATGCCACAGAGCAGCACAGAACGCAGCTGGGGCCGGCTGTCCAGCTCCTGCTGCAGGGCGGGCACCATGCTGAAGCAGGTCTTGGTCAGCGGCTGAAGGCCCTCAGCCCCCAGCTCAGGCACCGTGGGGCCCAGGCCTTGTGGGTACTGTTCTGTCAGCAAGACTGGCACCTCCAGCAGCCGGGCCACCTGTGCCAGTGATGGGGAAGAAAGGTCAGGGTCTGAGGGAAGAGGAGCTGGGCCTGGACTCCTGGGTCTGAGGGAGGAAGGGCTATGCCTGGACTCCTGGGTCTGAGGGAGGAGGAGCTGGGCCTGGACTCCTGGGTCTGAGGGAGGAAGGGCTATGCCTGGACTCCTGGGTCTGAGGGAGGAGGAGCTGGGCCTGGACTCCTGGGTCTGAGGGAGGAGGAGCTGGGCCTGGACTCCTGGGTCTGAGGGAGGAAGGGCTATGCCTGGACTCCTGGGTCTGAGGGAGGAGGAGCTGGGCCTGGACTCCTGGGTCTGAGGGAAGAGGGGTTATGCCTGGACTCCTGGGTCTGAGGGAAGAGGAAGTGGGCCTGGACTCCTGCGTCTGAGGGAGGAAGAGTTGGGCCTGGACTCCTGGGTCTGAAGGAGGAAGAGTTGGGCCTGGACTCCTGGGTCTGAGGGTGGAGGGCTGAGCCTGGATCCTGGGTCTAAGGGTGGAGGTCTGAGCCTGGATCCTGCATCTGAGGGAGGAAGAGTTGGGCCTGGACTCCTGGGTCTGAAGGAGGAAGAGTTGGGCCTGGACTCCTGGGTCTGAGGGTGGAGGGCTGAACCTGGATCCTGGGTCTGAGGGTGGAGGGCTGAGCCTGGATCCTGGGTCTGAGGGTGGAGGGCTGAGCCTGGATCCTGGGTCTGAGGGTGGGGGGCTGAGCCTGGATCCTGGGTCTGAGGGTGGGGGGCTGAGCCTGGATCCTGGGTCTGAGGGTGGGAGGCTGAGCCTGGATCCTGGGTCTGAGGGTGGGGGGCTGAGCCTGGATCCTGGGTCTGAGGGTGGGGGGCTGAGCCTGGATCCTGAGTCTGAGGGTGGGAGGCTAAGCCTGGATCCTGGGTCTGAGGGTAGGGGGCTGAGCCTGGATCCTGGGTCTGAGGGTGGAGGGCTGAGGTCATACCCTGAGCATGCGGGCTGCCACTGAGACGATCTGTGGGAAGTAGGCGATGTTGTGGCGGAACTTCTCCTGCATGTCACACAGGAACAGGATAGAGGATCCTGGAAGGACTCGGCCCAGGATGGGCCTGGCAGCCGCCATTTTCTGGGGGTGGCAGAGGGGCGCTGGGTCAGGCCCGAGGACTCCTCTCAGTGTCTCCAGCTGGCGTCCAGGTCCTTGCACACAGAGCCTTGCAGGGCCCGGGGCACCTTGCCAACCTTCTTCCCACCTCCAGGTCTCTGTGTCTGCTGTTCCCTGAGCCTGGAACGGGCTTCTTTCTTATTTCTGTCCTATTCGGCAGGGAGGTGACTTCCTTGGGAAGCCTTCTGGGCCACGTCCACAGGTGGCTCCAGGTGTCTCCCTCCCGGCCCCCGTGTTCTCCTTGCTGAGGACTATGTATAACATCAAGGAGTGCTTCATGATCCCGGTTACCATTCGCCCTGGTTACCATCCGCCCCAGTCACCATCCACCCTGGTTATCATCTGCCCTGGTTACCACCCGCCCCGGTTACTATCAGATCCCAGTTACCATCAGCCCCAGTACCATCAGCCCTGGTTACTATCAGATCCCGGTTACAAACAGATCCGGGTTACCATCAGCCCTGGTTACCATTAGCCCCGGTTACCATCTGCCCCAGTCACCATCAGCCCCGGTTACCATCAGCCCTGGTTACTATCAGATCCCAGTTACCAATAGATCCGGGTTACCATCAGCCCTGGTTACCATTAGCCCCAGTTACCATCTGCCCCAGTCACCATCAGCCCCGGTTACCATCAGCCCTGGTTACTATCAGATCCCAGTTACCAATAGATCTGGGTTACCATCAGCCCTGGTTACCATTAGCCCCGGTTACCATCTGCCCCAGTCACCATCCGCCCCAGTTACCATCAGCCCTGGTTACCATCAGCCCCGGTTACCATCCGCCCCAGTTACCATCCGCCCCAGTTACCATCCGCCCCAGTTACCATCAGCCCCAAAATGGAGGCTCTGCTGGGCATCCTATGTTGGGGCAGCCCACTCCCCAGGGCCTCCTGAATGGCCCACCTGATCCTCACCTTGCTCCGAGAGGAAACTGAGGCCATATTCTTCAGCCATAGGAAGGAAGGGGGCCCCTGAACAAGCCATAGCATGGACAGACCTCAACACAAAAGCCATGGAGTGTGAGATCCTGTTTACCTGAAATGCCCAGAACAGGCAAATCCGCAGACAGAAAGCAGATGGGGCCGAGCACAGCGGCTCACGCCTGCAATCCCACCACTTTGGGAGGCTGAGGCGGGCGGATCACCTGAGGTCAGGAGTTTGAGACCAGCCTGGCTAACATGGTGAAACCCCATCTCTACTAAAAATACAAAAATTAGCCAGGCAGTGGTGGGCGCCTGTAACCCAGCTACTTGGGAGGCTGGGGCAGAAGAATCGCTTGAAACCCAGGAGGCGGAGGTTGCAGTGAGCCGAGATTATACCACTGCACTCCAGCCTGGGCGACTGAGCGAGACTCTGTCTCAAAAAAAAAAAAGGAGACTGGGCTCGGTGGCGCACACCTATAATCCCAGGACTTTGGGAGGCTGAGGCGGGCGGATCATCTGCGGTCAGGGGTTTGAGACCAGCCTGGCCAATATAGTGAAACCCCATATCTACTAAAAACACACAAAAAATCAGCCAGGCGTGGTGGTGCACGCCTGTTGTCCCAGCTACTCAGGAGGCTGAGACAGGAGAATTGCTTGAACCCGGGAGGTGGAGGTTGCGGTGAGCAGAGATGGCGCCACTGCCAGTCCAGCCTGGGCAATAAGAGCAAAACTCCATCTCAAAAAAAAAAAAAAAAAAAAGCAGATGGGTGGCTGCCAGGGGCTGTGGCCGCGAGGAATTCAGGGTGACCGCTGAGGGGTGTAGGGGTCTGTTTGGGATACTGAAAATGCTCTGGGGCTTGGTGGTGACGGCGGCACAACAGCATGACTCTATGAATGCCGCTCCACTGTGCATTTTCAAATGGCTGAAAGGGTAAGTTTTATGTTAAGTGCATTTTACCACAATAAAAAAAGAAAAAGAAAAAGAAAAAAAGGACAGGCTAGTGAAGCCACCTGGCCAGCGATTATTTTGCAGGGGAGGAAACCTCGACCCAGAGGGCCCGTTCACCTGTCCTAGGTCCTGCAGCCATGCAGGGCACATCTGACTTCCACTCGGTCAGAGCATCTACACTGTCAGAGCGTCTACACCACAGGGGCCCTGTCTCAGCATGTCTTGGCCTGTGTCCCCGGGAGGCTAGTGTTTTTGGGTCCCCGAGTTTGCTGCACAACTGAGGGTTTGGGCTGCGCTTTGTCTGCAGCTCTCTCCCCGTCTGTGTGTACAATTTGTTTGTACTGAACTCATTTATTCATTAACTCACCAGGGAAATGGGAGACCCTGGAGGCTCACTGGAAGCAAGACAGAAGGTATTCTGGGAAGCTGAGGGAGGCAGGGCACTCAATGAGAAGCTGCTATTTTCTTTTTCTTCTTTTTTTTTTTTTTTGAGATGGAGTCTTGCTCTGTCACCCAGGCTGGAGTGCTGTGGCACAATCTCGGCTCACTGCAACCTCTGCCTCCCGGGTTCAAGGATTCTCCTGCCTCAGCCTCCCGAGTAGCTGGGATTACAGGCTTGTGCCACCATGCCTGGCTAATTTTTGTATTTTTACTAGAGATGGGGTTTCACCACCTTGGCCAGGCTGGTCTTGAACTCCTGACCTCGTGATCCACCTGGCTCGGCCTCCCAAAGTGCTGGGATTACAGGTGTGAGCCACCGCACCTGGCCTGGAGCTGCTATTTTCAAAGCTGGGTAGTGAGGACACTGCTGCTCATTGTCTTTCTTTCTTTCTTTCTCTCGTCCTGGCCTCAAGCAACCCTCCTGCCTTGGCCTCCCTGTACTATTTTTTCTTTTTGAGACAGGGTCTCATAGTGTCATATAGGTTGGAGTACAGTGGCACAGTCATAGCACACTGCATCCTTAACCTCCTGGGCTAAAGTGATGATCCCACCTCAGCCTCCCAAGTAGCTAGAGCTACAGGTGTATGCCACCACACTTGGCTAATTTTTGTATTTTTATCTTTTCAGAGACAGGGTCTTGCTATGTTGCCCAGGCTGGTCTCCAACTCCTGGGTTTAAGCAATCTTTCCACCTCAGCCTCGCAACGTGCTGGGATTACAAGCGTGAGCCACCACGCCTGGCCGATTATTCTTTGAACAAAATCCATCCACCATAGCAAATGTTTTCTATGTGCATCATATCTCAAGTTTAAAAACGAATAAATGGTTAAAATAGTGAATTTTATGTTGTGCAAATTTTATCTCATTAAATAAAATTGAATGGAAACTCCCTCTGAAACAAAACCAGTGAATTAATCCCATAATTACAACAGTGATAAGTGCTGGGATTTGGAGGGAGCCAGATCTAGCTTGGCAGGGGCTGCAGTGTTCTCCCAGAGGAAGTGAAGACAGAAAAACGATCTTTTCCGAAAACACAAAGCTGACTATTACTCCCCTGTCTCAAACTGTCCCCTGACCCCCGTGGATTCTCTCTGTCCTCAGGACTAGGACGCAGATGCCCCTTTCCCTGCCCCGGCACTGCTCTGAAGACCCTCCCGCCTCAGCCCAGCCACTCCTTCCTCTCAAACAGCCCTTGCAGTTTCCTCCCCCTGGAGTGACCCCCTCATACCCACTCACGTGCTAACCCTTCCTCCCCTGAGCAGGAGGCAGGACCTGGGACACTCAGGCCCCAAGGGATGATTCTGAGGGAACCAGGAGCTGGAGAGCTGACAGGTGGGTCACAAGGGCCCTGGAGTCTCTCTGCGGAGGGCAGTCGGGAGCCATGGAGGGGCACATCTGGGGGCCAGCATGTCCAAAAGCCTAGGACAGGCATCTGTAGCACCCAAGAACTCCCCTCTGGCCTGACAGGAGTGTGGGTTGTAACAACTCCTAGGGACAACTGAGCAGCTGTACTTCTCAAAATGATGGATACACAAACCCTCTGACCTCAAAAGCTGCTCCTAAGCATTCATCCTACAGACATTCATGTGAAACGACACAGGGTTATTCATTACAGGACTCTTCCCCAGAGCAAAGGAGCAGAAGTATCAATGTCCACAATTAGGGTATACTGGTTATGTAATAACCAGTATGGTTATGCCGTAACTATACTCTGTTATTCCTCGCAGCCAGAAAAAATTACGAGGAAGCTCTTTAAGTAACAATACGAAAACATGTTTGAGAGAAGTGAAAAAGAAGCAGAACAGTGTGTGTGGAATGCTCCTTTTTGTGCCAAAGAAAAAAGGGAGAGAAAGTGTGTCTGTGTTGCATATATCTATATCTGCTATCTCTGGCAAACGAGCAAGAAACGGGAGACTCAGACGGGTGAACCAGGCACTGGGGAAGTGTGTAGGAGCCTTTTCACTAGGTCCTATTCTGTTTCTTCTGAATTCTGGACAATGTGCAACAGGTTGTCTAGTCAATACTATACACAATAAAGGGTTTAAGTGAAGCCAAAACCCAGCAAAAATGATCTATGATGTCAGAAGCCAGGACAGTGATTGCCCTTGGACCACTGTGATGGAAACGACGACGGCAGGAGATCCTGGGATGTGGCGCATGTTTGACTTTTTTCTTTGGGTACTTGTTTACACCAGGGTGCTCCCTTTATAAATATTTATTTGAGCTGTGTATGTGCAAACTGTATGATTTTCTGCGTATGTGGTATTATTCCAGGAAAAGTGTTCAAAATGCAAAATACAAAGATGGCTTCATGGCCCCGCTGTGCGGTTGAACTGGAGGCAAGGGCCAGGGAGGAGGAGGTCGGGGCTGGGGCAGTGGCACAGGGGAGAGACAGGAAGGGACAGCTGGGACGGTGGGGAAAGTCGGTGAGAAAGGCCCCCCGTTTCTGGTCGAGCGAGGGGCATGACCTGAAGACTCATAGGAGATCCCGGGGAGGGGAACTGGTTTTTGGGAGATGAAAAACTGGGGTGAGAGTGGATGTGTGTGTGAGCGAGAGACATGTGGAGGGGAGGTCTGGGCTGGAGAGGGCTGGGCGTGTCCCGGGGAACGAGGAGAGGTTCAGCCTGAGCGGAGGGTATCCAAGGCCAAAGGGGGCGTGGCTGGAGGTGGGCGGCAACGGGGGCGGGGTAGGGCTGTGGATTTCCCGACGCGGTCTCGGAAACCTGGCCTTGGAGCCTGGACTTCCTGGTTGTGCGACCCAGGGCAAGTTTCTCTTTGTCTTAGCCTCAGTTTTCTCGTCAGAGAAATGGGGATGAAACCTGCCCACCCTGCAGCGCTGTTACAGAGGCGGCAGGCGCGACCCGAGGACGCTTCGGGTCTCTGGCCAGCCAATTCTGGCGGGGCCACGTGGCGTCCTCCTTCTGGTTCTGTGACCTTGGCCCGGGACGACCAGGCAGAGCCTCAGTTTCCCCATCTGTTAGGCGGGAAGGTCGATCTCCAAATAGCGCCAGCAGTGAGAGAGGACTTACCCGGAAGGTGCCGGGTTCGAGCCCGGAACGGCCCCTCCGCAGGTGAGGCCGGGGGAACCCTCACCTCTCGGCGCTCGCACGGCCGCCGCTGAGGCCTCTTGCGGGCTTCTCGGGGCGGGTTACCGTTTCGTTGGGGCTGGACACGTGGCCCACCCCCTGCACCGTCCGCGTTCCGCCCACTTGGGTCGAGCCGTCCAATCGACACTCATCATGCGCTGCCTCGCCCCCTCCCTCCGGCCAATCCGCATGTGCCACTGCCTCTGCCCGCAATCAGCGCTCACCAACTCTCCCCGCCCCCTGCTTCTCAACCAATCCGCATATGCTGCTGCTTTGCTCCCGCCCCAGGGGAGGGGCGCCGGCAAGGCTGTCAGTCTGGAGAAAATGACTAGCTCGCAAAGTCGCGGTGGGGGCGGGGCAGCAGCGCGTCCGGCCAATGGAGAGCCGTAGAGGGCGTGAGTGGCGGCCGACGGGGTAGAGTCGCGCAGTGGTCTCCGAAGGCTCAGATCCTGGCTGGAGAGAGGGCGTCTCGGCCGGCCCCGTTGCACAGAACAGGTCGCCGAGGACGGGGGAGAGAGAGAGAGGGGTCTTACCTAGAGTAGAGGCATGTCTGCGGTTCGAATCCTGGCCCTCTGTCAAGAAACGGAGGCTTACAAAGATACCCAAGCACTTTCTAGGAAGGGGCTGGCTGAGGGCGTGATCAAGTGAGGAGTTTGACGCCCCCCTGTCCTTTGTGCTATGCGCTGCCTCAGTTTCCCCATCTGTACAGCACCTGCCTCCTCGAGTGGGGTTTAGAATAATTTAGACTCTGTGCTTGGAAACGGTGGTTGAGAGAAAGAGGGAATTTCCTAACTGACTTGGAATAAGTCCAAACTCCTCCCAATTCGTGGTTGGCCTTCCTGGTTCCCGCAGACCTCGCCTCTCACCACTCCCCCTGCTCACTCCGCTCCAGCCACACGGGTCTCCCCTTGCTGTTCCCTCAATGTCCCACTGCAGGGCCTTTGCACGTGTGCTCTCTCAGCCTGGAATCCTAGGACTTCCCATGGCCCAGCCTTCCAGGCTTTCAAAGCCTTTCCTGACCACGTGGTGTCAGGTAGCCCCTCCATCAGGTCGCTGTTTTTAATTGTTTTGAAACATTAAAAAAAAAAAAAAGAAAAAATTGCTCTATCAACCAGGCTGGAGTACCGTGGTAAGATCACAGCTCGCTGCAGCCTCAACCTCCAGGGCTCAAGCAATCCTCCCACCTCAGCCTCCCGAGTAGCTGGGACCACTGGTATGCGCCACCACACTTGACTCATTTTTTTATTTTGTTGTAAAGACGGAGGTCTCACTCTGTTGCCCAGGCTGGTCTTGGACTCCTGGGCTCAAGGGATCCGCCTGCCTTAGCCTCCCAAAGTGCTGGGATTACAGGTGTGAGCCGCTGCACCCGGCCTTGTGTTTTATTTTCTTTTCAGCACTAACTCCAATCTGAATTGGAAATGAATCTTGCTTTTTGAAAAATGCATGGATATACTCTTTTATTGTCAGTTCCCCGCCAAAACACACACATGCACACAGAACGGGGAGCTCTCTGAGGCAGGGATCCCATCTGCCTCATTCACTGCTGAATCCTCAAGTCCTAGACCTGGGCCTGGTCCATAGCAGGCGCTCCATACGTCTTTGGGAATAAATGAGAGGAAAGCAGACATTAGGCAGAGGTAAGTCCGGCTGAGAGCGAGGGGTGGATGCCAAGATGGGGCAAGGAAGAAGGAAGGGGAAAGGCGAGAAAGCAAGAATGGGGCCTCCAGAAGAGGTGGAGGGGGGCCCTTGGGCCCAGGAGGAGACCCCTGAGGCAGTGGTCTGAGGAGGTGGTCTGGGTTGGTTTATTTTACCAGGGGCTGCCAGGTAGGGAGTGGACAGGTTGGGGGCTCCTGGAGAGGGCTGGAGAGCTGTCATGGAGGGGCCTCTGGCTTGTCCTGGGTTCTGAACTGGGTTGTGATTGGCCTTATGGGGAGCTGGTCCCCCAACCTTCAGGGATCCCCTGAGAATCCCAGGCACGAGGCACCTCCCACCAGTCCACCCAACCCCAGTCGGGAGCCTCGAGATCAGCCTCTTCCCCCAGGGCATGCTGGGGAAGGGGCAGGGGGCCACAGAAACGTGGGACCTGCTTCAGGTCCGGCTGGCCCAGGTCGAGATAGGACAGACCCAGCACTGGCAGGGGAGTGGGACCAGAGGAGGGGTCCCGTGGCACTGAGGTACACTCTGGAGTGAGCACAATGTTGTCAAAGAGGTCGAGGGTAGAGGTGTCCAGGGCAGTGAGACTCAGGCTGGCGCTGGCATGGGGAGCCTCAGTGGGGGCCACAGCACAGGCCACTCCCAGGAAGGGGGATGGAGGCGGCGGGGGTGGCTTTTGGAGCGAGGGTCTCTGGGGAGGTGCCTCCTGTGACAGGATGGAGAGGGCCAGGCGCTGGGTGGCGGCCTCAATCTTGGTGAACTGCCTGTAAAGACAGATGTGAGCAGGCTGGTCTCTAACGCCTGAACTCAAGTGATCCTCCTGCCTCAGCTTTTCAAGGTGCTGGGATTGCAGGCTTGAGCCACCACCCCCGGCCAGCATCATGTTTCCAAGGTTCACCCATGTGGTTGCATCACACCATGCTAGTTATTTATTTTGGTGAGTCCTGACCGCCTGCCACCCCCGTGAAAACACAACCTCCACGACAGCAAGGAACTTTATCTGCTTTGGTAACTGGCCTGGCACACAGTAGGCACTCAATAAATGCATGTTGACTGCTGCTGGCATCCAGCCCTGGGGGCTGCTCCTCTTTGTGCCTGGTCTCCCCAAGCCAAGGGTGCTGGTTGCTCGTCCCCCTCCACCCCCTCCCATTCCCACCTTCCCCACAGCCCCTCACCTGCAGATCTGGTTGTGCAGAAACCTTCTGTGGTTGGGCCGCCTCTTGGGGGGTCGGGTGCGCCGGGGCTGCAGGGCCCGCAGCATGTGGGCAGCTGCCCCGCTCACGAAGGCACACAGCTCCCGGGGGCCGGGCTCGGAGACCCCAGGGCCTTCGGGGACCCCGGGATGCATGGCCGGGGTGGTCTGAAGTAACTCCCCACAATACTGCTGACCAAAGTACCCCCCAAATCTGTGAGCAGGGTGGGGCAGGGGACTCTGGAGGCCCAGGTACCCCGGGCTGGGGAGGAGGCAGGGCTGGTGATTGGGCCAAGGCCTCCCCACTGCACCCTAACCCTGCCCCCACCTCCCAGGAGCCCGACCTGAAGTCCGAGGGACTGGCAGGTGGGGGCTGATATAGGAAGGCAGGGAACAGGGAGGGGAGGGGCTTTCTGGGGCCCTGTAAGTACCCAATTAGCGCATAGTTGGACCTAGGATATGGGACCAGCGCATGCCAGCGGGGGACAGAGAATAGTGCCTGGAGATGGCCAATTAAGGGAACAAAGGCGTGGTTCGGGAGGTGAGGCCGCCAGTGAGTCAAATGCAGCGATTGAGCATGGAGGACCCTTAATTGGAGCCGTGGGGAGGGGGCTGGGAGGGAGGGGAGCTGGGCTGCATCTGCCTACTCACCCCCAGACACACCTGTGCCTCCCTCCCTCTGCTCAGCCCAGGGCCTTAGGAGGGGAAACCGAGGCTCCCAAAGGGGCTGCTGCGGGCTGAGGTCTCCAGACTGCAGGAGGGGTTGGCTCCTGGGGGGTTGCCCCCCAAATCCTGGGACTCATAGAATCCTGAGCAGCAGAGTGAGGGAGGAGAGGAGAGGAGAGGGGTGAGGCAGGACGGGAGGGGACGAGAGAACAGGGCACAGTCTCCCCCAGGGTGTGTTGTGGAGGGACTGGGACCCCTGGTGTCTGTGGGAGGCAGAGGATGGGCCGGGCCCCCTTGTTTCTGGAAGGGTGTTGGCCGGAGCGGGGACCCTGGGTCTCAGGTTGGGTGGGGGAGTGCCAGGTGTGACAGCCTCAGTCTCTGCTCAGAACCCACCCTCGGGGGTGTGCGCTGGGAAGCCAGGGTGTTTCCCGAAGTTGGTGTAAGAAATGACCACGGTAGGCCGGACGCGGTGGCTCAAGCCTGTAATCCCAGCACTTTGGGAGGCTGAGACGGGTGGATCACGAGGTCAGGAGATCGAGACCATCCTGGCTAACACGGTGAAACCCCGTCTCTACTAAAAAATACAAAAAAAAAAAATAGCCAGGCGAAGTGGCGGGCGCCTGTAGTCCCAGCTACTCGGGAGCTTGAGGCAGGAGAATGGCGGGAACCCGGGACGCGGAGCTTGCAGTGAGCTGAGATCCGGCCACTGCACTCCAGCCTGGGTGACAGAGCGAGACTCCGTCTCAAAAAAAAAAAAAAAAAAAAAAAGAAATGACCACGGCTTAGTACCTAGAACCGCACGCGCTGATTCTCCTGCCTGAAGCAGGGATTTGAGCCTGATGTCATGAGTTTTTTGCCAGGCCCGCTCACTGGCCAGCAGTACTATGGGCAAGGTCAGCAGCTGAGGTCCTACCAGGCCTAGGGTGGGGGCCAGCAAGCAGGTGGGGACATATTGGGAGCTGAGGCTGAGTGCAGCCAGTGATGTTGCCAGAGGTCCAGTTTCCTGTCAGCAGAGCATGGTGAGACCAGCTGCAGTAGGACAGCCAGACACCCAGTGCCCTCACCAGCCACGGCACACACACGTTGACTGCCACCTCTGCCGTGCTTGACACTGCCACTGTGCTGAACCACTGCACAGGTGGGGCTGCTGGGCCTGGTGTGGCTGGTGTCTGTGTCGGGGACATCATGGGCCTCCCTTGTTTCTCTTGGGTGTCTCCAAGGGTCTGCAGCCTCCTAGACAGCCTCTTGTACTCTGCCCCTTCGTCCCTCTGCCTGCCAGCTGTCTGTGACTCGCACTAGCCCCATTGCTATCTCTCCATCTCCCCTGCTCTTGCTCTTTCCTCTTCTGTTCCTCGTGGCTTTCTGTCCATCCCTGAGTTGTCTACAATTCTTTCCACTATCAACTATCTATCACCTACCTATCTATGGATCTATCATCTATGTATGTGTGTATGTTTGTATATATCTATTTTTAGAGACAGAATCTGGCTCTGCCACCCAGGATGCACTGTAGTGGTGTGATCCTGGCTCACTGCAGCCTTGACCTCTTGGGCTAAAGAGATCCTTCCATCTCAGCTTCCTGAGAAGCTGGGACTACAGGCACCTGCCACCATGCTTGGCTGATTTTTTTTCTTTTGTAGAGATGGGGTCTCACTATGTTGCCCAGGCTGGTCTCAAACTTCTGGGTTCAAGCGATTCTCCTGCCTTGACCTCCCAAAGTGCTGGGATCACAGGCGAGAGCCACCGCGCCCAGCCTCTCTCCTCTGTATTGTCTCTCTGACTTCATCTCCCCCATTTGTGTTCTGGTTCCTCTCCCTGTCTCTGTCTCTTTCACCATCTCTGGAGTTTCTCTCAGTGTTTACGTTTTAGGCTCTGAATGCTCTTCACTGCCTGTCTCTCAGCTTCTCTGTTTCTGTCTCTCTGTCTTCCCTAGGGCAGGTCGTCTGTGTGTGTGCGCGTGTGTGTCTGTGTCAGATTGTTTCGGGGTGGTACCGTGCGGTTCCCGTCTCCTGGTGTCCAAAACAAAGGATTGGATGAGACGTGCACAGACAGCAAAGGAAAGGAGCAAACGCTTATGAAGCACAATATTCCACTCTCAGAGGGGAGAGCAAACCGAGCTCTCCGAGATGAGATCAGCCCTGGTTTGTTACATTTCATGGCCTTTTTTTTTTTAAAGGACTCTTTTTAAAAATTTATTTATTTTGGCCGGGCGCGGTGGCTCAAGCCTGTAATCCCAGCACTTTGGGAGGCCGAGACGGGCGGATCACGAGGTCAGGAGATCGAGACCATCCTGGCTAATATGGTGAAACCCCGTCTCTACTAAAAAATACAAAAAACTAGCCGGGCGAGGTGGCGGGCGCCTGTAGTCCCAGCTACTCGGGAGGCTGAGGCAGGAGAATGGCGTAAACCCGGGAGGCGGAGCTTGCAGTGAGCTGAGATCCGGCCACTGCACTCCAGCCTGGGCGACAAAGCGAGACTCCGTCTCAAAAAATTAAAAAAATAAAATAAAAATAAATTTATTTATTTTTATTTTATTTTTTTAATTTTTATTTATTTATTTATTTATTTATTTATTTATTTTTGAGATGGAGTCTCTCTCTGTAGCCCAGGCTGGAGTGCAGTGGCGCAATCTCGGCTCACTGCAAGCTCCGCCTTCTGGGTTCATGCCATTCTCCTGCCTCAGCTTCCTGAGTAGCTGGGACTACAGGCGCCCGCCACCGCGCCTGGCTAATTTTTGTATTTTTAGTAGAGACGGAGTTTCACCGTGTTAGCCAGGATGGTCTCGATCTCCTGACCTCGTGATCCACCCGTCTCGGCCTCCCAAAGTGCTGGGATTACAGGCCTGAGCCACCGCGCCGTCCTGTTTTTTATTTTTGAGATGGAGTCTTGCTCTGTTGCCCAGGCTGGAGTGCAGTGGTATGATCTTGTCTCACTGCAGCCTCCGTCTCCCGGATTCAAGTGATTCTCCTGCTTCAGCCTCTAGAGTAGCTGGGATCACAGGCATGCACCACCATGCCTGTCTAACTTTTGTGTGTTTTTTAGTAGAGACGGAGTTTCACCATGTTGGCCAGGCTGGTCTTGAACTCCTGATCTCAAATGATCCGCCTGCCTCGGCCACCCAAAGTGCCGGGATTACAGGCATGAGCCACTGCGCCTGGCCATACATTTCATGGCCTTTTATATGTTTTTCATCTCTTGCTTAACCTCACTTTATCCCTTGTAGGTTAGTTGCTCATCCTTGCCTAATCTCACTTTATCTCTTCTCACCAAATCACTCATCTTCAGCTTTATTTTTCGTGACCAAACTGCTACTGCGAGTCCTTCTGGCTTATTTTCCTTATCCTGCATGTTCCACCTCACTGCTTCCTCCCTTATTTCACATGTCCTGCTTCTGCCATCTGACACGTTTTGCTTCTGCTACTGCTTAAGCTAACCTACGTCCAAGGGTCCCCTTTGCCTCCCCGAATTCCTCTGCTATTCTCCTGCCTCAAGAGGTCCGAGAGTCTGGTTCACGCCTGTGGTGTTGGGGGTGGCCTGAAGGTTTCCTGTCCTGTTCCGCTCCAGGTCTCAGGCACAGAGGGGAGGATCCAGGGTCCCTTGGCAAGAGGCCGAAGGGAGAGGGCCCCTGGGTCTCTGGAGGATGGGAAGGGAAGGATTGGCCCTGAGGGCCGGGAAGGGGCTCAGCCTGGTCCCGTCACGTGGCTGGGGCATGACTTTTGCTACCTTGATACACACTTTATCGTACGTATTCACATCTGGTAGCTCTTATTTCAAAATTTGCATTCCACAGCCCGGGGGCCAAGACCAGCCTCCGCCGGCCAGCTCTGTCCTTTTCAGGCCGGCCGGGAATGCACAGGGGGGCCGCCTGCAGGCTGCGGCCTCGGGACTGTCCACCAGGGGGCGCCCGCCTGGCCGGTGCTGGGCGGCCCGGCTCAAGGGGTGCGGCCCCAGAACTTGGGGCCCTCTCCTGTCTCCTGTCGTTGAGAACCATCAACCACGGTGAGAAGCGGGCTTCATGGGGTGTTTGTTGAGGACCTACACTTACAGGCTCCTCTTCCCTATCCCAGCCCTTGAAATGCTGTGTGTGTTGGGGGTGGATTTAGTCATTCAACAAACATTGGTGGAGCACCTTGCTTTGCCCAGCAATGGAGGAGGTGAGCCAGGCAGGTTGGGCCATGAGGGTAAGCGTGATGGAGAACCATAGAGGGTTTGGGGCAGGGGTAGACCCTGCCCCCAGCCTCCTTTGCAGGCCTTGCTACAGCTGGAATGTGGAGACCCCACCCCCTAATCCCCCTACAATCTGGATGGGGGTGTCAGGGCCAGGCCAGGAAGCCAGGGACAACACACGGTGTGTCCTTCCCTGTCCCCATCCACTCATCTGCTATCTGCTCCCTCTTATCCAGTTATTGTGGGACCTTGTTTCCCTTAATTTATTTTATTATTATTATTGTTTGAGACAGAGTCTCTCTCTGTCACCTAGGCTGGAGTGCATGGTGCAGTCTCGGCTCACTGCAACTTCTGCCTCCTGGGTTCAAGAGATTCTCCTGCCTCAGCCTCCCAAGTAGCTGGAATTATAGGCGCCCACCACCACGCCCGGCTAATTTTTGTATTTTTTAGTAGAGACGGGGTTTCGCCATGTTGGACAGGCTGGTCTCGAACTCCTGACCTCAGGCGATCCACCCGTCTTGGCGTCCCAAAGTGCTGGGATTACAGGCGTGAGCCACTGCCTCCAGCCCCCCTTAAAATTTATTGTTAAAATGTACAGATAGCAGAGTCACAATGTATCATCACCCTGGTGTTCCCAACCCAGAAGCAGAGGGGCCAACCCTGTCGTGTTTGGTTCACAACTCTTCTTCTGAGAGAAGGCTGGCCGTGGCTGCCTGTGTCTCCCCAGATTCCAGTGTTGCGGTTGTGACCCCCATGCTCCAGAGTGGGACAATATTAGGATAAAGTCTTTAAACAAGCAATTAACCTGGGTGCGGTGGCTCACGCTTGTCATCCCAGCGCTTTGGGAGGCCGAGGCGGGTGGAGGATCACCTGAGGTCAAGAGTTCGAGACCAGCCTGACCAACATGGAGAAACCCCGTCTCTACTAAAAATACAAAATTAGCCAGGCGTGGTAGCACACGCCTGTAATCCCAGCTACTCCGGAGGCTGCGGCAGGAGAATCGCCTATACCTGGGAGATGGAGGTTTCGGTGAGCCGAGATCACGCCATAGCACTCCAGCCTGGGCAACAAGAGTGAAACTCTGTTTCGATAAAGAAGGAAGGAGGGAAGGAAGGAAGGGAGAGAGAGAGGGTGGAAGGAAGCAATGAAGTTAAACAAGGTCATCAGGGTCTGCCCTAACGAAATCCGATGGTGTCAATTACAGAAGAGATTAGGACACAGACGCGCACCGAGGGGCCACCATCGAGGCCCCACAAGGAAGACAGCGTCTGCAAGCCAAGGAGAGAGGCCTCGGGGTAAAGCAACCCTCCAGACACCTTGACTGCAGACTTCCGTATCCAGAACTGGGAGAAAGTAAGTTTCTGTTGTTGGGAGCACTCAGTGTGGAACTTTGTTATGGGGGTCCTAGCAGATTCGTATATATAACGAGTGTATTCGCTATCTATACTGTGTAAGAACTAGCCACTGATGCAATGGCTTTAAACAACATACATTCATTATCTCAGAGTTCCGTGGCCAGGAATCTAGGCACCATGGTTTATCTTGGTCCTCTGGTCAGGGTCGCTGCAATCCTGGAGTGGGCCAGGGCTGGGGTCTCATCTGAGGTTGCGGTCCGCTCCCAAGTTGACACAGCAGCATTCATTTCAGTGCCTCTGAAGAATGCATGGAGTCCTGGGTTCAGGGCCAGCAGAAGAATCTCTGCGTTTCCCATCTCTGACCTCTAGGCCCAGCTTTTTTTATATATATAATATAAATATATAAAAATATATATATTAATATAATATATAATATAAATATATAATATATTATATAACATATAATAATATATTATATTAATATATAATATATATTTTATATATTTATATATTTTATATATTTATATAATATATATTTTATAATAAGTATTTTATATATTTATATATATTTCATATATATATATATTTTTGAGATGGAGTCTCGCTCTGTCACCCAGGCTGGAGTGCAGTGGCGCGATCTCGGCTCACTGCAACCTTCGCCTCCTGGGTTCAAGCGATTCTCCTGCCTCAGCCTCCCGAGTAGCTGGGATTACAGGTGCCCGCCACCACGACCTGCTAATTTTTTGTATTTTTAGTAGAGACAGAGTTTCACCATGTTGGCCAAGCTGGTCTCGAACTCCTGACCTCGGGTCATCCACTCGCCTCGGCCTCCCAAAGTGCTGGGATTACAGACATGAGCCACTGTGCCTGGCCTCAGGATCTTTGACCGCATCTGCTAAGACCCCCCTTGCCTTCACCATATCACATAACCATCACATCCACATAATGCAAAGGCACTCACATAAGGGCACGGGTCCCTGGGGGTCATCGTAGAAGGTGGCAGCCACTCTTAGGGAGGAAATTTAGCATGTATCTGTCTCTGTTTTTGCACTTAGAGGAATGTTTTACCTGTGCAGATGGAACCCTGTGTATTGTTGCTTCCTCCAGCGAGTCTGCCCTGGCTTCCCCCAGGCTGCATGTGGAGTCTCCCCTGGCTCCCATGTCCTGGGCAGCCTCCATGAGTGCCTGACCATGCATGTGAGACCTGCTCAATAGGCCTTGGAAGTGGGTGGACTCTGGGGTTGGGCACATTCCTGGTCCAACCACTTCTGGGTTGCAGGAATTACTTCCTGGTTCTGTGGCTTGGCCATGAGACTTCAGAGGGCCTTGCCTTACCCCGCTGTGAAATGGGGATCGCACCCCTTCTGAGTGGAGAGGCCCATTAGCTCGGGGCCTGCTGGGGCTGCCATAGGGGCCTTAAGAGATGTCAGAAGGGAGGAGCACCGTGGCTCGTGCCTGTAATCCGAACACTTTGGGAGGCCGAGGCAGGTGGATCACCTGAGGTCAGGAGTTTAAGACCAGCCAAATTAGCTGGGTATGGTGGCAAATGCCTGTAATCTGAGCTACTCAGGAGGCTGAGGCAGGAGAATCATTTGAACCTGGGAGGTCGAGGTTGCAGTGAGCCAAGATTGTGCCATTGTACTCCAGCCTGAGCAATAGAGTGGGACTCCGTTTCCAAAAAAAAAAAAGAAGGGAGCATCCTAAGCCTGTGGGAGGCATGGGCCTGCCCCGTGGGTCCCTTGTCCCTGGGGATGGCTGACAACCAGTGACTCTCTTTGCCCATCCCCTCTGCCTTTGGTCTAAAATGCATCTCTGGTTCCTTACTCGACTTGTTTGAAAAAGGATGTTTTATTTTTAGTCTCTGGCCCTGGGAATCCAGTCATTACTCCAGATACCTTCTCTAGCCCCTGACCCCACTTTCTACAGAGGGAGGGAAGGGGAGTGGCAGGTTCCTTCTAAAGCCTTAGGCTGATCCTCCTGGGATCGGGGTGGATGGAGAAGAATCTCCCAAGTGCAGGGCCTCTGGGCAGGAGTGACAGCCCAGTCCCCAGGAAAGGGTGGGTACCTGGAAAGGCTGAATGGTTTACCTGGCTGGCAGGCGGCAGGGCTCAGAGTGTGAGGCTGGGCAAGGAGCCTGATCTAGTTGGGGTGGGGAAAACCGTGCCCCCAAAACACCTGGTGTTGTTGGCTAGAAACAGAAACATCTGGGGCCTGCAGGGGTGCAGGGGTGCACATCTGGGCATCTGCTTGGTCATGCATTGGAGGCTCTGGAGGTCCCCTCACTGCCCTGAAGCTGTATCTCCTGCTTGGCTTTTCTCCACGGCACTGCGCAGTGGGTAGTCTGTCTTCTTGATTCCCACTGCATGCCCTGGGAGGTTCTGTGAGCTCACTGAGACGGTGAGTTTTTTTACTGGCTTTTCCCCTCCACATTGCTATGACCCCAGCTCCCAGGACAGGGCCTGGGGTGGAGCCCCGGTCTGGACTGTGGGTGGGAGCGCTGCTGGGCCTGAAACAGCTGCAGCTGAGGATTCTGTATGATCTTATCCATGTCTTCGGCTATTTGATTCTGTTTTTGTTTGTTTGTTCGAGACGGAGTCTCGCTCTGTTACCCAGGCTGGAGTACAGTGGCACAATCTTGGCTCACTGCAAACCTCCGCCTCCCGGGTTCAAGCAATTCTCCTGCCTCAGCCTCCTGAGTAGCTGGGACTACAGGCACGTGCCACCATGCCCGGCTGATTTTTGTATTTTTAGTACAGAGGGGGTTTCACCATGCTGGCCAGGCTGGTCTCGAACTCCTGACCTTGTGATCCGCCTGCCTCGGTCTCCCAAAGGCCTGGGATTACAGGCATGAGCCACTGCACCCAGCTGATTCTGTTTACTTGTCAGCATGAGGGACCTGATGACATCCCTTGAAGGGCTACACAGAGGATCCGGGGGGTTGGGGGAAAACCCCACCTCCCCGTCTGGGTCCCTGAGACTCCTCCTTGGCCTGGAAAGTGCTGGACACAAGGCTGGCCTGAGTCCCGTCACTGTCTCCAAGGGGCTGCTAGGCTGTTCTGAAAACAAACCAGTTGAATCCACACCGCCTTTTCAGGGACAGCAGGTTGCCCGAGGCCATTGACTTCAAAACCTTTGTTCACCTTCTGGCTGCAAAGTGGAGAATGGTATGGAGAGTAAGCGCCAGTCTTAGCCATGCCCATCTCTCTCTCTCTTTTTTTTTTTTTTTTTTTTGAGAGAGGGTCTTGCTCTATTGCCCAGGCTGGAGTGCAGTGGTGCAATCTCAGTTCACTGCAGCCTTAACCTCCCAGGCTCAAGCGATCCTCTGAGTAGCTGGGACTAAAGGCATGTACTACCATATGAAGCTAATTTTTCTTTTTGTTTGTTTGTTTTTTTAGACGGAGTCTCGCTCTGTCGCCCAGGCTGGAATGCAGTGGCACGATCTCGGCTCACTGCAAGCTCCACCTCCCAGGTTCACGCCATTCTCCTGCCTCAGCCTCCCGAGTAGCTGGGACTACAGGTGCCCGCCACCACGCCCAGCTAATTTTTTGTATTTTTAGTAGAGACGGGGTTTCACCATGTTAGCCAGGATGGTCTCCATCTCCTGACCTTGTGATCCGCCCGCCTCGGCCTCCCAAAGTGCTGGAATTACAGGCGTGAGCCACCGTGCCCAGCCTCTAATTTTTTGTAGAGATGAGGTCTTGCTATACTGCCCAGGCTGGGTGTCCCATCCCTTATGTAATGCCTCTGGGTGGGCAGGTAAGTGAGGGGGGCTGAGCTGAGGACCCCTTTCACTATTGCAGAGACCCAGATGGCCTGAGGCAAGGGGGATGGAGGTGGGATCCGCACCTCTGGGCTTTCCTGGCCTGGCAGCCAGCTGGGCAGCGCATTCCCATCTGTGTCCCCACCCCTCATGGCAGCCGCTTTGTGTGGTTAATGCTGACGTGAAAGGAATGTTTGGGCTTAGCTGGATGCCAGGGGGTTTTACACGCACGAATGCACGGAGATATCACCACCAAGACCCTGTAAGGTAGGGGTGGGGCCACATCAGCGCAGATCAGCCCTGAGTTCCAGCCTGCTTGTGGACTTGGGAAACGGTGTGGGAGGCTAGAAAAATCCACTCATTCAACAAACAAGTACCGTCTGCTTCTCCATCAGGGCCCATGCTGGTTTGGAATACGTGGGCAGCGAAGACATGAAAGGTCCCTGCTGTCATGGGACATAGATAAATGTCGCTGAGCATGTAAGAGGGACACCACCTAGCACAGGAGGCTTTCCAGCGGGATCTTTGAAGGGGTGGCCTGCCCCTCCACACCTGTGGGCGTTTCTCGTTAGGTGGAACGAGAGACTTGAGAAAAGAAATGAGACACAGAGACAAAGTATAGAGAAAGAAAAAGTGGGCCCAGGGGACCGGAGCTCAGCTTACAGAGGACCCACGCCGGCACCGGTCTCTGAGTTCCCTTAGTATTTATTGATAATTATCTTTACAATCTTAAACATAAGGGAGTGGCAGGACAATAGGATCATTGTAGGGAGGAAATCAGCAGTAAGACATATGAACAAAGATCTCTGTGACATGAATAAGTTTAAAGGAAAATGCTGTGCCTTGAGATGCATATGCAAATATCTCCATAAACCGTTTAGCAGCATTGTTTCAGCCTATCACATGGGGAGAAACCTTGGACAATACCTAGCTTTCCTAGGCAGAGGTCCCTGCGACCTTTGGCCGTGTAAGTGTCCCTGGGTAGTTGAAATTAAGAGAATGGTGATGACTTTTAACCAGCAAGCTGCTTCAGGCACTTGTTTAACAAAGACACATCCTGCACAGCCCAAAATCCTTTAAACCTTGAGTCACCACAGCACATGTCTCTTGCAAGGACAAGGTTGGGGGTAGGGTCACAGATTAACAGCATCTCAAATACAGAACTAAATGGAGTCTCTTATGTCTACTTCTTTCTATATAGACACAGTAACAGGCTAATCTCTTTCTTTTCCCCACAATCTTGCTGGGCAGGGATGGGTTAAGGGCAGAAGGGCCTTCTGGTCTGAGAAACAGCATACAGAATGGCCTTCAGGCCGAGGGGACTGCCTTTGAGCAGTGGCTCTCAACTAGTGAACATTTGGCAATGTCTGGAGATATTCTTTTTTGTTGTTTGTTTTTTTTTTGACACGGAGTCTCACTCTGTCACTCAGGCTGGAGTGCAGTGGCATGATCTTGGCTCACTGCAACCTCCAACTCCTGGGTTTAAGTGATTCTCTTGCCTCAGCCTCCTGAGTAGCTGGGATTACAGGCACCTGCCACCGTGCCCGGCTAATTTTTGTACTTTTAGTAGAGTCAGGGTTTCACTATGTTGGCCAGGCTGGTCTCGAAC